TACCACATGGTGGCCGATCTTAATCGAAAGCGGCCATAGAGCTCTCTCAGCTCTCGCCTTGTTGATCATCGTAGTTTTCCATTTCCTGGTAAATTTCAAGTTCATAGCTTTTTTGAGAGATTAGCTTTTTGCTTCATTTTCGTTTCAGGGTTTTATTGCATAGTTAAAAGCTTCAATTTTGATTGGTTCTTTTCAAAATGTTTTCAATTTCATTGAGTTTAGATTTAGAAATGTGATTCTGATTACACAATTCTTGCTTGGTTTCTTTTGTAGCTGATAATGCTGTTGTGGAGCTACTTGATTACAGTATTTACGGATCCAGGTTCTGTTCCTGAGCATTTTAGAAGAGAACTTGAGGGTGAGAATTTGGAGGCTGGTACTTCGACGGATCAAGGAGCTTTTGGTTCTTTAGGTTACTGTCCTAAATGCCGGAATGTTAAGCCGCCTCGTTGCCATCATTGTTCTGTGTGTAAGGCGAAAATCCGATTTGTTTTTACTGCTTAGTACTGCTAATGTTTGTATGTATGGTTACTAGTTTATTCATGTTTCTTTATGCAGGTCAAAGATGTGTTCTTAAGATGGATCATCATTGTGTTTGGATTGTTAATTGTGTTGGAGCGCGTAATTACAAGTTTTTCCTTCTCTTTCTGGTAAGAAAACCATTTCCATTGCAATCTTGTGGTTGGTTGGTGTGCATTTGGGATTACTCGTTTTTGCTGATTTTCTGTACCGTTTTTCGATTTGTAGTTCTATACTTTTCTTGAGACAATGTTGGACGTAATAGTCTTGCTTCCTAGTTTTATCAAATTCTTCAGTCAAGCTATAAAGCATTCTTCTTCTCCGGGTAATCTGGCCTCCCTTGTTCTGGCTTTCGGTAAGTGTAAAACGGTCCTTTTTCTCGCTTTCTTGTTACCTAGAAAGTGCTTTAGATTCTTTTGCCTCATTTTCCCTCTTTATTCTTCTTACAGATTCTATCCACTTGATGCAGTTCTCAACTTAGCGTTCGTTCTCAGCCTTCTGTGTTTCGTAGTCATGCACATTTCTCTTCTCTCTACCAACACTACTTCAGTCGAGGTAACTATATTTATGTTAGCATCTACAAACAATCTAAAGCTTTAACATTCGATTCTCTTCTCTGAATCATCTTCTTGTTTTTTTTCAGGTTCATGAGAAAAATGGAGATGTCAGATGGAAATATGACTTGGGAAAAAAGAAAAACTTCGAGCAGGTGAGTCTTCTTGCGATCCTTTTGTTTCGTCATCCCATGGAATTGTTGTTTAAAGCTGATGATATAACTCTCTGTTTTTGCTGTATTTTTCCGGTGAAGGTTTTTGGGAAGAAGAAGGCGTTTTGGCTCCTCCCATTGTACTCGAAAGACGATCTCGATAACATGATTTCACTTCACGGCCTTGAATTTCCAACTCGTTCTGACATCGACCCTTGATTGAAACAGCAACAATCGATCAAACATCGTAGGAAAGTTTCATACTTCCCCTCCAATGTAGATAACTATCTTCTCAAGAGGAATTTATTGTTGTACCCTATAATGATAATTGATTTGATTCATTTGTAATTTGTTTTACTTGGCTTGTTGTATTCAATCATAACTCTCAATACAATCTTGTTTAAAGTGACATGCTCAGTTATTTATGTTTTTATCCACCACATGGTCTGATTTGGCACATATAGTATTTTCTATGCAAGAGAAATTTGACAAAATAAAAAGCAAAAAATCAAAGCTGATGGGTGTGACTGAGAAGAGTATTATTCAAAAGAGAGAGAAAAAAAAGTCTGATAATTTAAGACAATAAGATCATATCACTCACCCTAAAACCCCCTCAGCAATATCCTTATCAAACCAGAAACCGTTTAAGGTTTCGATTTCACATTTTTAACAGATTAGAGAAAGCTTCTTAAAACTTCTCAAAAAGAAACAAACTACAAACAAATTCCAATACATCCCCTCATTTTCTACTTGCTTCTTTCTTTTTTCTTTTCTATAGTTGCTAGTAGGGTCGGTACCTTCGGCCTCCTCGGTTACCATCATGATCATGACTGTTATCTCGCCCTGAACCTCCGCTTGACCCGTTACTCCGGTCAACTCTTCTGGGCCGTGGTGGTGGTGCCGCTGCCATCTGCATACCGGGCTGTTGCCTGTATAATAATTACCCATATCAGTTTCTTGAGATACAGAAGCAAGAAGTTATATTACAAGCAAATGTCATTTGCTTTACAAGAACCATTGACTTACAGAACATAGCCAACTCGGCCATCGGGGAGAAGCATTGGAACCATTTGCATTCCCGTTGGCATTGCTCCTCTACCATAGATCATTGGCTGTTCAATGCAAAATTAAACCAAAAGTTTATACAAAAATTGTTCATAACGACTTCTTAAATGATGGTAAACAACTCTTTCTTAGAAACATATATACCTGATTAAAAGTACCGGCAATACCTAAACCGGCACCCATAGCACCATAAGGTGGTGCAACATAACCACCAAAAGTGGGATGCGCAAAGGAAGCAGGCTGAGGTGCAGTCCCGTAAGGATAAGATTGGTCAGGTTTCCTTTCAGCCTGGGGTTTCGCAAGCACAACTTCTAGTGGTTGACCTGTAGTTTGCAAGTTTGTGGGATGTGTTACTATAATGTCTCTTGAGATCAAAGAACAAATACCATTTAAAGACAAATTGAAATCATAACATTTATGTTAATATCTGTCATCTGGATGACAAAAACATTTACCGTTGATTTCATATTTCTCAGTGTCTTTGACAGCCTTCAATGCACTAGACCTTTCAGCATAGTGGACAAACCCAAAATCACGTTTTCCACCTTTTCCAGGAGGCGTGACGATTTTGGTCACTTCTCCATGCCTCTGAAAGAGTTCCTTCAGTTGCTCTGTTGAGGTATTCTCAGGAATATTCTTGACATAAAGAGCTTTGACCTGCGTATTTCGCCCACAAAGAGAATGGTCAAAAAAGTGCCCGGAGGAGAGGATTTTGCAGACAAATTGACTAAAGCCTCTTTTTTGAAGAATACCTGAGCAGCAGCAGCTGAATGCTCAGGAGAGCTTTTTGGGTCTGCCCAAGTCACAGTTGGAGCGTTACCCTCAAGCTTAAAATTAGAATCTATCATTTTCTGCCTCGAATAGTCAGCACATGCATTGTTATAGTATAAGACAAATGCAAAACCACGGTTACGGGTAGAGTTTGTTGGATCCTACAGGCGCCAAGAAGATAATTAGTAAGGGAATTTAAGCACGACTTGCATGGCAATCAGATTTTGATTAAAGCTTCTTACTTTTATGAGCTCGATGTTCTCCGCTCCAGGACCAACATCCTCTATGACTTTTCTGAACTCATCCTCAGTCCAGTTCTTTGGGATGTTACCAACAAACAATCTATTCTTAGTTTCGGAAAGAGAGCATCTTATGGTTTTTCCCTACACAAAATAAGATATAGGTTAAACAGAAGTAGCGGCGCGGGCAATGTAAACTAGCAATGATCGATAAGTTAAGCTGCAGTTAGCGGTTGAGATTGCCTTAAACTCTTTACTGTGCAACTCCTCAATGGCTTTTTGTGCAACGTCTTTCGATTTGAAAGCCACAAAAGCATAGCCTTTGCTATCACCAGTGTCCCGATCTTTCATCAGTCTCACCTGATAAAAAAAAGGTTAGAATTCAGCCATGAATACAGAACTACCAAAGAGGATCATGCTAAAGATTATTGCAGTTCCAACCTCAAAGATCTCGCCTATTGCTTCACAGAGATCTCTCAAGTCCTCTTCTCCGACATCCTTCGGGAGCCCGCCAATGAAAACTTCAGAACCATGAGGAGGAAGTGAAAGAAGATGGGAATACTTTTCCCTTTCTTCTTCATCAATAGGAGATGCTGATTTCTCATCATCTTCTGCCGTCTCGATATCAATATGGTTGTCGTCATCGTCAGCTAATTCCTCCTGAGCTTCATCCATATCCTGTCCTTTTGTATCACCATAATCCTCCGCATCATGTTCTTCGGCATTTGGATTCCCACCA